GTGGGGTGGTGGGGGGGGGGGGGGTCGACAGATGAGGATGGACACAGACAAGATCCTGTTAACATTACACTCACACACAGCAGAAGAAGCAGGCTGCTGTGCTACTTGTTCATGTTGTGTGTGAGTGTGAGTGTGTGTGTGTAGAATTATATTCCTCTTCAGTTGACCCCTACAAATACGATATTGAACTTGTCCTCAGAAGCCTGTGAAACAGCCATATAAAACACTTCAGTGACTGGGATTCTCTTTTCTTCCGGCCTCACAAACCTTCTGCCAGCCACACAGCATTCAAGGCAAAGTCTTTAAATTTTAACATTCCTTTTTAATAACTCTACAACTGTCTTTGCTGTTTCTTCAACAGAAAAAAAATCCTTTGTAAGACAAATCAATGAAGGAGGATTTTATTTCACCTTAAAAACCTCTTCACTGACATTTTTACCAATGATATTATTGATGATATTAATCATCTGTCTCTTTTACTGACTTTCACAGAGAAGAGAAGAGAAGAGAAGAGAAGAGAAGAGAAGAGACCACATGAGAAGACATAAGATAATACTAGATGAAGTGATAAAGACACGTTGAAGCATAAAGAGGCAGTCAAGGTGACATAATGAGAAGATAATTGATAAGAAGAGACATGATAAAAGAGATAAGACCAGACCCGATGATATTAGACAAGGCGAGGCACAGCAAAGCAAGATGAGATGAAGGATGAGGAGAAGAGACAAAACTGAGGACAGACTAGGTGAGGTGAGAAAAAAAAGAAAAGACAGAAAACAAAAGAAGAGATTAAGTGAACCAAGAAAATGAGGCAAGAGATGTATATAGCACTAGCACTGTTCTTCTGCTCTCTGGATTCTCTATTGTAACTACTAACAACAGTCTTAAAGGGGTCATATGATGCGATTTCTTTTCGGCCTGACAGGGCATCATCACAGTATGGTAGGGGCGTAACATTTCCGTCACACGCTTGAGGTATTCGGCCAATCATAACGCACTGGATAGCTGGCCAATCACAGCACACCTTGCTTTTCAGACCTGCTTTTCAGGCTTTTAAAAATCGACGCCTTTCAGAAAGGCGGGGCATAGAGGAGAAACAATAATGTACAGTATGTGGAAAATAATGTGTTTTTTGAACCTTAAACCGCATTAACACATTTCATTACACCAAATACACAAAATAATGTTATTTTTAGCAACATCATATGACGCCTTTAAGTGTCATTAATAAACCAACTATATGATGTTACAATTAGATAAAGCCTTTCAGTTTCTCACACAATCTCTCCCACCGTCAGAAACGTTCACACTGTAAGCTTGTTTGTGCTTTTGTCTCGTCTTCATGCCTCCAATGAGGGATTCTCATGCAGAGAGACGCAAATGTATGTGCTGTATAGACAATATGCAATATATGAACTAGATATTCCCGTCCCTAAACTAACGCAATTGGATGAGTCAGTGTTGCTGTGTTGGGCTGGTCAGAATGCGCAAAAAAAGGGAATATTCTGAATGCAATACAGAGTCGGTGTGTTACACTTTTAGGGGAAATGTAGTTTTATAGGATCTGTATATTCTTAATTGATGAATTTTGTTTATTAATGAAAACTTACGTTCGTGAAAGGTTGAAGACCTGCTGCGGGTCACCGCTTGCTATCTGATAGGTGATCGGATCCATCTCACGGTCTGTAGCCTGTGAAAATACACCAATTCACACTTAATTTACACTAGTAGTTCAGATAAGTACTGGCTGGTGAAAAATAAAATCAATGTAACATAAAATCAATTGCAGGATAACAATGCAAAGGCCACGTCTGATTGAAGGGCATGATGAACAAATGTAGAATCAGTGACATTTTACAACATATATAAATTTAAAACCCTACACCTTTGCTAGATTTTCCAGGATATCTGCTGTTATCGATTATGCTGTTTTCTAAGTTTGACAGCTCAATCTGTCTGTGCACCTGAGTTGTCTAAAATCATATACTATTTTAATTATAAAATTATAATTAAGTGATATTGTTTCAAATCATGAAACAGGTTTGTGTTCCTGACTTTTTGATGATGCATATCCTCAGCACAGTTTGCAGTGCAGGCCGCAATATTAATATTAAATTTTTTGTCTCTTAGAAATGCACATTTGACAGTAGCTTGAGTTGACAGTAGTAGTAGCTTGAGTTAGGATGCAGATGTAAATTTATGTTCATTAACAAAAACAGTAACATCTGTAAAAATTGTAAAAACCTAATTTTTATATGATAAAATTGTATTATTCTTTTATTAAAATGAATCATTGGTTTTCTATAGTAGCATACATTTGGATCATGATAAGCACAGTAAACCACACAGATAGTACCTCAACACCATGGTAAAAATGTAGCTATATGGTTTCTAAGTATTTGCATGAAAAACAGTAGCCTAAATACATTTAGTATAAATTAACAAATGCTACCGCTTAATCACAAAAAATACTGTAATTATATTCCATTACTCCTTTAATACATGGTTACATTAATAATATAATAAAATTCAATATGAATATCCCACATTTATGTCACAATACCATGGTGCAGTTAGTGTTACCACAGTAAATCCATGGTAAATTAATGCGATTTGTAGATTGAAAAGCCTTCTGACTGTACCGTTGCGCACAGTGTTTCTGCTGTTTGTCAGCACTGTTTCATCAGAGTTTAAACTAGTTTAAATCACTGAGTTAATTGTGTTCTTCACTGAATTCAAGCGTTTCACACTGGGTCTCACAGCTCTGTTTAGTACTCGTGTGACTGAGACTCATCAGCGAGTAAACTCATCTGCTCTATTGAGCTTGCGCTGCCCTGCCATTTGAACTTTGAGCCGAGCAGATAAAATGGTCCTTTTTTTTGGTGTATTTTATTTGATGGTTCTGTTGTCAGTCACAGCATGTCGGAGAAAACGCCTTTTGTGTCCCATGGCAAACAAAGTAAATTTTACATGATAAATAATGGTTAAACGATTGCAGAAATATTATTCATTTAAAGGGTTTAAAGTGTAGTCTTGTTGAACATTATGTATTCTTCAAAACGAGTTGCCAGCAGAAATCACACAGAACAGAATGAAATGTTATCATTTCATATTATGTAAATGAGTAAACTTCATTTAATAATGCAATTGAAAACATAATGCCATTGATATGACAACTGAATACAATAATAAAATGTTAGTGCCGTGATTTCAATATTCATAAGGATTAATTTTTAAGTCTGTAAAGTTGTTCATACGTACATAATTTATATTTTAGGTGTCATCAATATTGAACATTTAAATGCTGTAAATATGTCAGTATTTTATGTTTTAGTGTCTGTGCAAACTTAAGTAAATGTACGTTTTGTAGAACCACATTTTACGTAAAATACATACAAATTCTCATGAGATCACATTGGAATGGCTTACAACATACTACTACTTCAGCAGTATATTTACTGTGTATTCAGTAGTATGCTAATTTTCTGCATGCACAGAATACCCAAATGACCTACTACATTTATCAAAATGTGCAGTATACAAAGGCCGTACTGCGTGGGATACTGCATCCCACAATGCAATGCATTCAGCTTGACCTTCTATTTCCAGTGTATCTGCCAACATCTTTTTTTGGCTCATAATTTGATCATACTGCAAAGGCTTAAGACCAGGCTTGAAACACCTATTGACCCATGAATTTTCTTTTTCAGTCATTTGTGATTAATGGATAAGAATTTCTGCAAATAATTTTATAGAGATTGCACACAAAATGAAAAGTCAATCAAATTAAATTCACTAAAAAAAACTAAAAATAACTATAATTTATAAATGTAAATTAAATATAATATTTAATATTTTAATATATTTAATTAATACAATATATATATTGTTTAGATAGTAGGTTGTTTTTTAGTGTATACTGTGCAGTGTGCAGTAAACAGTAGGCTAATATTCCATTCCAAGTCAAATCAAAACTATGTGTGTACCTGCAGATTTAACAGTATGGCTCCTATCCTCATGGCCTCGCTGATCTCCAGGTTGTAGGTCTGTATGGGGAATCGTGGTGGACTCTGATTGTTGGGTGGCAGAACCTCTATATAGACCGTAGTTATGGAGCTCCTATATGCAGAGTAACAAAGAAAATAAAAGACCAAATACACAAGCCGACAAAACTGAGAGATATAACTGATGTAATGCAGTCACATCTGACCTCCTCTCGGGGTCGGGAGCGTTGTCTGACGCTCTGACGGTCAGTGCGTAGGAACGGCCGACGCTCAGCGTGACCCCTGGTGCTAACGTGAGTCGTCCTGTGCGGTTGTTGATGATGAAATCGCCTTGATCTCCAGCCAGGATGATGTATGTGATGAGGCCGTTTAAACCAGCGTCAGCGTCCTGAGCCGTCAGCTGACAGAAGAAACAGAGACATTATTATTTTAAGCCACATTCTTCTATTTCACACTGATCTTCATTATCTGTGTGTCACAACAGTTTGATATTACTCTTCCAAAAAGTGCTGTTATAATGTACTCCGATTTGAATATATTTTGGTATTTAACAATCTTTAGGTTAACTGATTTTAAAGAGAATGCACACACAAATAGCAATTTCAAATCAATTAAATTGTTTAGAACAACAATAAAAAATTAACTAGAAACAAAAACTACAAACAATGACTAAAAAATTATTATATTACATAAAATATTATATTAAATACATATTATATATAATTAAATATATTAAACTATCAATAATCACATTTTGTTGCTTTGCAGCCTGAAATGAAGATGGACAGTTTTTGTTTTATCTAGCTGTGCAACTTATAACAACTTATAAAAACAAACTACAATAAATAATTACATTTATTATACATTTTATAAATTAAATAATTATATATTAAAATAAATTGCATAACTAAAATTAAATATAGTAATATTACAATATATTGCCATATAATTTTCCATGTTAATTTTGTGTATTTTCTTAAAGGGGTCATATGATGCGATTTCAAGTTTTCCTTTCTCTTTGGAGTGTTACAAGCTGATTGTGCATAGATAAGATCCCTGAAGTTGCAAAGACTAAAGTCTCAAAACCAAAGAGACATTCTTTATCAAAGTTAAGACTCTGCCACACCCCCCTAAACATGTCAACATATTCTGTTACACCAAATACACAAAATAATGATCTTTAAAAAAGCATCATATGACCCCTTTAATAACAATGACTTCTCCAGGACTGAAAATATCATATCCCTTTATTTATTTATTTATTGTTTTTTTTTCAGGCATTTGTCTTTCTAACAAATTGTATTTATTTTTTTCAGATGATGAAACATATCTAAATGTTTAACTGGTAGTATACTTTATTGAATACCATGGTTCTCCTATAATGCATGGCTTAAAAACCAAGGTGGTACCACGGTATCATGCTCAGAAGCCTAGTACTTTTTTTTATAATATTTAAATGCAATTTTCTCATAATATTTACAGATGAGGTCTTAGTTCTACTTGCTGAACTTTTTCTTTCTTTAAACTCAACACTCATTACTTTAAATCAACCATAACAGAAAATCCATGCTTCCATCCTTATTAAAATGCAGATTAGACTCTCAGGATTAATGAGGTTTAAAAGCAGCATAATATGATTATTCAAGATAAATTCTCAGACACAAAGGTACAGATCAAAGACTAAAGACTTTTGATTAGGTTCAAAGACATCATTTAGATGTAAACTCGTAACCCTGAATGTTATCATCTTTAAAAGCACCGGGGCAATAAATACACCCTGAGAGTAATGAATTCAAAGTCCTGCTAATAAGAAAGCGCCACCTCCATCCACGGCTCTCATTATTGAGAAAACTCTCCAGAAGCACTGATCCGTACCGCCGTGTCTTTAGCTGCTTGGAGTGCTGAGGTATGGAAAAAATTCACACGAGCGCACACACACACACACACACACACACACACACACACACACACACACTCGAGGGCAAATATGGCTTATAAAACACATCCAAGTGGCCCGGCTGACCTAGCTGTGAACTGTGACCTCATTTCAGGAGGATCCGGGCAGCTTGTTATTTCAAGAGAAACTACAGGCCTTTATGTGACTGATTTTCCTTTGAATCGTGACCCAGCCATGACGGAATGAGACAAACACAGGCAGAGCAGAACATGAGCAGAGTGCCAAAATAAAGCTGAGAGAATCGTTACTGAGAGAGAGTGAATATGCCATAGCCCGAGGGACAGAAAAGCACACATTATGTTCACTATGTAATTTTGTCCCACTTTTTGTCAGCCCACCATGCCTACACAAGCCACTTTCACAATGCAGATGAAAACAGTTGTCATTTGTCTTCTGAGCGCTTAATCAAACAGAGTTTGGTTATTTACAGAAGTGTCAACTGCACTTTACGACCAAATACACAGCCTAAAAATGGCTGATTAATCTGCATTGTGTTTATTGATCGAACTAAACAAGTTGCTGAACTGAACTTCAATGCACTGATGAACTCAGATGTATTTGTCACTTACAAAATGTGGCAAAAGAAAGAGAGAGAGAAAGAGAGCGACAGATGGACAGGTCATCTGAACAAATCAGTGTTGGGAAAGCTACTTTGAAACTGAATCATTTAAAGCAAATTAATTATAGAAAAGCTACTTAAAAAAGCTTGGCTAAAGTAAAAAAAAGCAACAAGCAGCTAAGATGAAGCGCAAAATACAGTGAAGCTATTAAGGGGAGAATATATTTATGAATACAACTGAGTTCAGATGATTAAAAGGCACAATATGTAAGATTTTTTTATTAAAATATCCAAAAACCACTAGAACAGTGCTATATATTTTGCTGACTTGTGTACTTACATTATCCCAAATGTTTCGAAGAATGTTTAAATCCAGACAAATAAGCAATTTTAACTAGTGACACGGACCGTGTCTATAGTGTCATTGTGTCGCCTGCTAATGATGTCATAACCTCTCGATTTCCGGTTTTGTTTTGTAGAAAATATGGAAACACCAAAGACGCTTTAATATGTTGTGCGTTTTAACAGACCGGTGACGACCGGTCGACTGTGGCATAATAAAAGCTCCGCTGCTTTCGAGCCGTGTGTCACCCGTGTGATTGCATCGGCTGTGGGGATGAAGACGACAACTCCCATGATTCCACACTTAGTCACGGAATCATCAAACTACGCCTTTGTCTATTTGTTTATTTTGAATACGAAAATTGCATATTGTGCCTTTAAGTTATTACCAATACGAAAAAAATATACAGTGATGTTTTTAAATTAATGATCAACATCAAGAGTTACAGCACACTGTAATAAAAAAAACAGTAGAGTGCAATCAACCTCAAATTTACCCTAATTAAAACTAAAAATAAAAATAAATAAACCATAACCAAACTGCGGTTCATATGATCTGGTTCCTTTTTAAAAAGTTGCTTTATTGCCTGCTATACTTTATGTTCATTTAGCTGAATGACTGTTTGCTTCATTTTTCACTTATTTCTTCAGAAAAAAAAAATCCAGATGCTGTTGAGTCACATTAAATAATTTGACTACAATCTTAAGTTAATAATGAAACAAACATAGTGCCGAGTTCATTTCACACTCCAAAAAATTAACTTAAATGATTTTAGCAAATGGCTGCAATATAACAAAGAGTAAAAAATTTAAGGGGGTCTGAATACTTTCCGTACCCACTGTATATATAAGGGCTGGTAAGCGATTCAATTTTTTTATCTAATTAATTACATGATTAGAATTAATCTAATTAATCGCACATCAAATATGTCTGAAAAATTACTCCCAAAAGATAATTTAAAGTCATGGTGGTGTAAAGCATCAAACAGACATTACACAAAGTAGCTTCGGAAAGAAATATTTTGTTTGATTCAACATAAAATGTATTACATATACTCTTTTGGACCATGAGGGTGAGTAAATGATGACAACATTTTTGGGTGGGTGAACTACTTTTAATAATTTATTATTATTATTATTACTATGGAAATATGGAAATATTGTTTCTTTAATGAAATGATACTGAAAAAAAAAAACTAAAACTGCCAGTAGCTGGTGGTAAATGTCTTAATGATTAAGTCATCGAGTCATTTATTCATTCATTTGATTCGTTCAAATGTCTGAGTCATTCAGGAGTGAAGTAAATAATAAACTAAAACTGCCAGTAGGTGGTGGTAAATGTCTTAATGATTAAGTCATCGAGTCATTTATTCATTCATTTGATTCGTTCAAATGTCTGAGTCATTCAGGAGTGAAGTAAATGGTTCTCTTTATGAATGGTCCATTGAATTATTAGGCTTGTTCGACTTGAAGCGGATCATCACCATCTGATCGATCGGTGCATGACATCAAAGTACCGCAAGAGCGATTAGAGAGCAGACGACTCTGCATGCTTTTGAATCGCTCTTGCGGGATTTTGATGTTGTACACCGATCGATCTGTGCAGCGCCGCTTCAAATCCAATGCGCCTAATGATTCACCCAATTCGTTCAAAACGTGCATTAAGAAATGAAATGCAGCTGCGTGTTGCTCGGAGACGAACAGTTCTGCTTTGTCTTTATATTTTCCTTGGCAAAATTGAGCAAAACAGACAACATTGTGTCTAAAATAACACAATATTAACTTATTATTTATTGAACTGTTGTATAAGATCAGTATCACATTTGCACTCGTGTGATATTGCACTTATTGCTCGTGTGATATTGCTTAACTAGGCTATATGATGTAAATATGAGACAAAAACTCAAACCAGCATTTTTGCCCCATATCTTGAATTTTAGGGACATTTTAACTACGTTCTCTAGGCTCCATCATGCAGTGAGTTGTTGCCCTGCATCATATTTGTAATCAATCAACTGTATGAAATGTCAGATGACCCACGTAGGTCTGGGGCGGGGCAAGTGCGTTAAATGCGTTAATAATTTTAATGCGTTATTTTTCACCGTAATTAATTAATCTAATTAACGCGATTACCAGCCCTAATATATGTATATATATATATATATATATATATATATACAGACAGTATATATATATAT